AATAATAGCATATATAAAAATGATTAGGTACGCTTGAAAATAAATGGTGTAAATGTCTAATTCTCTAATACATTTTGCATTCTGAGAGCTTTACTAAGCTTTACAACATTTGGCATCGGGAGTTTTGGCAAGGGAGACAGAATCAGAACCACATACATGTCAAAACCACACCATCATGCGGAAAGTCGGAGAATTGTCTTCAGTTTAAAGACTTTAGACCTTCTGACATATTGTGCTGGATATAAAAATATGTGGGACATCCCTGTTTGGACTCCCCATCATCAACAAGTATTCAAGATTAATGCTACGCTGCCAGAAGAAAAAAATAATGATGTTTATATAAATATGTAAAAAAGTAAAGAGGTTTAGATATACCTCACACCAAAAGTTCAATTGGGAATCTGGAAAACTTCTGGCATATATTGTCTCCAAAACTAGCATTCACAGTGAACCTCATGGATCTGAAATCTGTGGAACACTTCCATGACAACGAAAGAAAATTAATATCTGCCAAGAAGCAACTACAGTGATTGACTCCCAGGTCAAGTGGGACCAGATGATGTGGTTCGATGAAACACAATTTGAGCTTTTGGACAGTCTTCCCAGGAATGTGATTAGAAAAGAAATGTTAGACACGTTTTGAAAAAGTCGCACTTTCTGTGAAAAATATAAATGTGCCTGTTCTGCTTTAGGTTGGGTTTCCATACTCTGATCCTAGCATCCTAGTTAGAAATGAGAAACAGATGAATGATATGTTTTACCAGGATATTTTAGACAAGAAAGTGAGTCTTTACACTAACAAATGATCTTCACAATAGTACAGCAATGCAAAGCAAGCATCAAACTCAGTGACTAGAAGGTAAGAAAAACATAAAATGAATATCCCTCATTGCTTATCACAGTCTCTAGTAGACGCTTTGTGGTAGGATCACAAGTGCAGGTCATTCTAATTGAATCAAGGAGATTCTTTCCCTCTTCTCACTTACATCCTTTACCATCATTTTGGCAATTACAAATTGAGCACAAGTAAAGGCAAAGAACAGAGGATTATGGCTTCAAATCCCAACTGGACTCTGTTATTGCATCCGTGGGCAAAGTATCTCTCTAAATATAGCCAACATGGGGCCGGAGAGTGGCGGACGTGTTGCGCATGGGTCCTCATCTGTTCATTTTTGTCCGGTCAGTCTCTTCGACAGTTATTTATGACCGACAGGTGCTTATGGACATTGGTTCAAGAATTGCTGAGTTAAACGCTGATACTGTATATCCTATTTGGAACCTGAACTCCACCCCTACCACTGGGTCACACTGATGGGGGTTTTTTTCCTCTAAGTTGTATGTTATTTAACTTGTTATTGTTGCTGCCGTGGTTCTCTGTTTTTGTTTTTGGTGTTTACTTGATGTCTCTGTATAGGAGCAGACATGCTAATAAGCATTTAATTGCACTTGTGCACATGACAATAAACTCTACTCTAAACTTGCTTCAGACAATACCCTCTTGTATCATGGGTAAATCTCCACTCTGGCATTGTAAAACAATTTGTTCTCAGTTCAGTTGTCTAGTTAAATAAATGATTAAAAAATGTTCCAGTGATTGTATGCTTCTATGAATTGAATATCAGCTTTGCCTGAAAATATACTCATGTGGTTTTTTCATTACCTTTTTGATTCAGAATTAAACAGAAGAGATGAAGTTAAATCCAGTTAAATCTCATTCTTTCTTGCCATTGTTGATTGGCTCTTTCTTTATGTATTTGCCAGCTCAAACTCTAAGGTCTAAATGGTGAAATTTCATTGCAAGACTTCATTTATATTAAAGAATTTCCTTTGACCTATTGCAATAAAGTGGAAATAGCCTTCAGAACAGCACATAAGTCAAGACAAATATATTCATTCTTATACGGTACATACTATGCATACAGAGAGGGTAGAAAGTTTTGTTATTAAAAAGCAAACCTACTTCCCATCATGCCATTTCTACACTAGTGCAATCAGAGCACAGCTTCCTCTTTTGACTCAATAGCAGGTCAAGGACTTAAAAGTTCAGCTCACAGAAATAGTACTCATTTTAAGAATATTTCACCATATCCAGCTGCGAAGAATTTCAATACTTGGCGCTTTGCTTTTGAATTACAATAAGAGTGCGGGGGTGGCAGGGAGCACAGAAACTTAAAATCAACTTGCGCATATTATTATATGTGAAAGGGTATGTTGTTTTGAAGTCTCTGCATTCCTTTGTTATGCTTTCATTTATGATCTGTGTTCTACACACTGACCACAAAGTCAGACGGAGGCTTCGTTTGTACCCATAAACACATACTAGTACAGAGTAATGATGAAAACAAAAAAAAGTAACATGATTTATAATAAATCTTGTGCTGAAAAAAAGACGAGATAATGATGTTTGTCTGAAATGTGAAATGTATGTAGTGACATAGAGATCATCATCTGCATTGACAACAGATTGAAATTATGCATTCAAATACAGAACTTTGGTATGAAAAGTTTTGTGTTTGTTTTATATTTTGGCTATTGATTTAATCTTTCTTCCTACATTGTCTGTACAGTAGTCTGTACGTCTGTACGGTAAGAGGGCGGTAGGCACCGAAAGGAAAAGAGTGATCCCTCATGTGACACAAGGACTGGTAGCAGGAATCCCAGCAAAGAACAACAAAAGGTTCCCAGCTAGATTCTCTCTTCAGGTCCAGGGATTATGTCTAAAAGAGCCAGAAGAGTCTCAGAGCAGACTCTTCTTTGCTGAAAATTAAAGCATGCTGAAAGACCTTCTGAGAAAAGAGGAGCTGGCTTTGATCGGTTTGAAGGAGCAGATACAGGTTGGAGAGGCAGCTTCAAGATCCTGAGAATGATGAAATTATAATTATAGTAGTCTCACCTGAAGGACAACCAAGAGCAGCTGGTCCAGGAGAAGGGAGTGATCCAGTCTCTGCATGTCAGAAATGGATACTAATGAGACAAAGGACAAGCAGTGTGTGAAGTGATGCCTGATTAGCAAGAAGGTAGACCTCCCTTCCCCCTTGTGCACAATGGAGCCAGTGTCCACAAACTACTGTACATACCCCCAGACAAAAAGGATAAAGACCTGCTCAAGTCCCAGGTGTCCCTGCAGCTGAGGGAGGAGGAGCAGCCTTTGTCCCAGGAGTCTTGGACTGATCTTCCAGAAGAGGAGCGAGATGATGAGTCTCCCCTACTGCCGAGAGCTTGAGGAAGAGGACACCAGGCCAGAGAGGTCTCCCCTGCTACCACTCAAGGCAGCTCTACAGCATGTTTCAAGGCAGATGTAATGTATGTTTCAGGTCGATCTACAGTACGTTAGGCTGCTATCTCCCTCATGAGAGAGAAGGTATGTAAGAGGAAGGTAAAATAAGTGGAGACAGCCGCCTGGTTGAATTTAGAGAGGGACAAGGAGAAGTGTAGTTAGTGCAGAGACAGAGCTAGGTTTTCGTTTTGTTTGTTGGAAGTTTTGAAATTAACTGCATAAATAAAGAGCACATTTTTTTATCTTACAGCTGCATGTTTGTCTGTATTCCCAAGTCCAGCCCCAGAGTGTGCCCCAGTCTGTATTTACTTTGGAAAATGTATGTTTTATCTGTAAAACGTTAATGAACAGAACAAGAGTGAAAATCTTTGGAGGGTTCAATAAACACATTTAATAGTTGTGTAATGAGCTAAGAAGAGGCCTCATAACTAAAAAAGAACGCTTTTAAAGCACAATCGATTACAGCAAATCGCCATGCCATCAGTCAGAAAGGAGGTCCTTCAGCATTTTAGCTAAATTAGAAAACACTGTTAAGGCCCAAGTGCTGTTGGTGCCAACACTAAAAAGCACTGTATATAAACAGTAAGAGATGAAAGCTGTTAGATGGATAGAGTCAATTCATTGCAGATGAGAAGTAACCTCTGGTACCTGTGATTTGTTCTTTGCTCTCATACCTTGCTGGGTGATAAAATAGTTGAATGAGACTTCTTGCTTGGGATCTGATTTTCTGATTCCTTAAGAAACACTGCATATCTGGGAATTGAAAGGAAAAGGAGAGATTCAGATCTTCAAGAATGCTTGTTACCCATTAATAATTCTAATATTTTCATTTACCATGTAGAAGGGAAAACAATGTACTGTATCATGAGAGATTCTCCATTCTTAATTCAGTCTCTCTTTTTATCTATCATCTATAATGTACAGTAGTGTAGTAGTAAACAGGCTCATTGTGTACTTCAACTAATGTATTATTTCTAAGTTGTTAATGAGATGCATTTTAAAGATATTCAAGCCTAGTGAATACCTAATACAAAAGCTTGCTTTCAAGCAAAACCTTTGCAATGCACTGCTGACACTTGGTTGCCCTGGAACAAATTCAAAACATTGTTAAGGTTTTTGATGTGGAGAATCTCCATAGTTCTCAAATGTTGTAAAGCCCTTTGAACTTTACAGAGGCTCCACAAATGTCCACAGGACTCCAAGCTGCTAACATACAGTTTTCACCAGAGACACTTGTATGTTTCTGTTAATTTTCTCTCCAGTGCCCTCTTTCTTTCAGTTTCTTTCCTTCATTTTCAATTCCACTTAACAGTATCTTTGGGGAAATGCAAAGAGTTCTGCAGATGTTTGTGTGTGCGCATGTGTTTGTACAGTATGTGTTACCTAGGATCAACTTCACTGTGGAAGCAGCAATGAAACAGCCTCAGTGAAACCTTTTAAAAAGGCACCTAGAGTACCTCAAGGGACTGTCCCTGGATGAGTGCTTCAGTAAAAGATATGGTTGAACTGCACATCCCTTGTTTCCATTATTATTAAGGAAATACATCCTATTTGGTTGGCGTGTGTTATTCCAGTTGTATCGTCTGATGATTATTTTGGTCAGGTATTTTGACTGTCCTGAACTGTTGGTTGTCCCAATCCCAACACACTCTGTTGGCTTTATTTAAGGTTTGTTGTTGGGTTTTTTTTATTGTAATTTTCCTTTTATATTTTCCTTCCTCAGTACCTCCTAAAATCACAACTATATCGGAGAACATATCTGTGAATGAAGGTGCCAATGTGACCCTCGTGTGCATTGCAGCTGGAAAACCAGAGCCCACAGTAACCTGGAGACATATCTCACCAATAGGTAGGTGCTTTTTGTTACGTGATTGATCACCAACAAATATTGTTCTGTTTGTTTTTTTCACACAAGATGAAGTTGCTCTTTACTTATCAATCTAATTTTCTTTCGCAAACCCAGTACCATATGGAAGGACTGGGAACTTGTGCACATACACCTCAGAGTTTAGACAGAGGTGTTTCTTAACAATCACTAATCACTAATGTCATTGTTTAATGCAATCACTAGTCACTGATATCACTAAAAGCTCAAAAGTGATGCAGGTCCCAGGTCCAACTCATTCGCTTACCTGTTGTCCCTACCAAGAATGGGCTACATTTTCAGACAGGGCAAACATTTTCCCCAGAGATTGTATTGTTATGCCTCACAATTATGTATTGTGATTTAAGTTCCCATTAAAGCTTGAATAAATCCTGAAATAATGCCCACTAAAATAGTGATTTTGATACAGTTGCGTTCTGAATACCCGCATAAATAACTAAACTGTTGTTTTTTTTAATGAAGTCAAACATTTTCATGAAACATATTGAAAGAATTTCTTCACTCATTAGCAGATTGTTGCTATGGCATGACTACTGATGCTTTATACTGTATAATACATAGTGGTGTACTGAGAGGAGTTCAGGAGTTCTAAGTTAATAAGAGCAGAAAAGGAAACACATAGAAATCACTGTACCTATAAAGAAAGTATTCTCAGTTAATTCTACACTAGCACGTTACCAGATTTTGCAGGGCTGATTTTCAAGCATCTGAAATATTAGCTTCCAATATGGAAAACAAAAACAAGGACCTACTTACAAATCATAATTTACGCAAGCGACAGGCAACCATTATTCTGGTCTCCTTGTCTGATTGACTTTGAGCTTTTGGTTTCTTAATTAAAGCAGCTATTTGTTACAATTAAGTAAATTAAACTTCATTTTGAGGTTTTAAACAAGGGCTGGATTACAGAAAACAACAAAGCACACAGGACAGTGATCCTCACAGACCATGTTTGCCCACTAATGATTAAACAATGATCTGTAGAACAGTGGGCTACTAAAGACGATTTGTTGTGCTCGTAACTTAATTTGGGTTTATATTTAGGTAATATACCATGTACAGCAGCTAAAAATGTTTAGCAGCAGAATTCAGGAATTTAAAGGTTTAAGAGACAGTAAGTCTCCAAGGTTTTTTTTATCTGTTGTTTTTCATATAATTAGATAATTAACTGCAGTATGTAAATCCCATAATATTAAACTGTTTAGAACGCAACAGAAGTTAATTACACACTGGAAAGCAGGAGGAAAGAGTGAAACACAATAGTTTGGCTGTAGGAGAGAGAGATATACAGTAGAGATATTCCGTGGCAAAGAAATACGTTTACCCTCTATCTCCTTACATACCTGACAAAGACTACACAGCTCAAACACTGTTACACTTTTTTAAACTTTTCAATGTAGGATTAACCAAGACTTGCACAATTTTCAGCCTGATGCAGACCCCAGCTATGAACTTGGTTTTAATTTAATAATTCAGGATGAAAGAAAAATGCACACCTTTTTGCTCTTGATGGATGCTTAAATTTGCAGTTTTAATTAATGGATTCAGTATTAATATTATGTGACTATACGTAAAAAAAAGTACTCAAAATTCAAATTGCTGTATTATAGGCACAGATACTGTATCTGTAATTACAATTTGTAAATTGTAATACTTGTATTGATTGTCAGGCTCATAAGAGTGAATTCAGTTTCTGGTACAAACCTACAGAATGACATTTAATCATTATATCTGTACACACTGAAAGGAAACACTGTGTTAGTGTTATTAGTGTTGTCTTTCATTTTGCTGCAGCTTTGTTCAGCGAATTGTTTATATATTCTCTACTTCTTCAGACTGAAATGCCCCTTCCTGGGTTTTAAAATGCTGCAGTCAGAAGATGGCATTGTGTGCACCAGGACTTTTTGACTTTCCTTTGTGTCTTTACAAGGATCTTGGAATTGAAATGTTAATTTGACAAGGATGTGGCTGCCCTGTTCTCAGAAGATAAGTGGAAAGTACACTGGTGGCCTTACTCTTTCAGACATGGTGGGAGTCTAGGCTGAAAGCAGGAAATGTACAACCTTTTCGGTAATGAGCTACTGTTTCCCCAACACACACCGCTGTTTGCAGTCCAGCTCATCAAAAGTGACAAAAATTCACCCAGTCATGTGGAATCAATAAATATATAAAATTTACGCAGGTACTGCATATAGATGGTTTTCAATGGTTGTCCTACTTCTACACCACAAAACATTGATGTTTGATACAGTATACACTTTATCCTCTCCTGCTAAATCCCAGAATTATTCTATAAAACTCTAGGGAGAGCCCATTACTCCCTGGAGCATTCCTCAGTTTAGAAGCCCCCAAAACCTTATCTAATACTTCCAACTTACAATTTCTCACGAATCTTTTGTCCATGGTTGATCCATCTGTCGGATCTATGCTTTAATATCCATACAATTCAGTGTACAAATGTTCAACTATTTGTAACAGCTCTTCTGTTGTATTTGCTTCCGAGCCGTCCTCTCTCCCGAGACCTTTCAACCCATTTTTGTTCCCAAATATTTCCTTAAAAAATCACTTCCAGTTCTAACACCTTCTCCTAGTAAAGGAACATAATCATCTTTTCTGTTTCCCTCTACTTTCTTTAGTACTTTCTGCCCTTATTTTCTCACTAAAATCCCATCCCGAATCCTGTGATTCAAAATATGTTTGTAGTCTTTTTTTTTTCACAGACTATCTGTTGTTCTCATATGTTGTCATATCTTATTTTTCAGCCATTCTCACCATAAGGCTTATGAATGAAAAAAAAATTAACATCAGCCAGTCCATATACAGTACTTCTGGGGACTGGTTTGCTTTCTCTTCCACTAAAAACTTCCAACATCTTCTCCCGCAGTTTTTGCCCCTACATTAAAAAAAGGTTGTAACAATAAATGAAAATAATCTGGGATCAATATTCTTTCTGTACCGTCTAAACTCATACAAAAATTGTAATCAGTTCTTGAGGCTTGCTTGAACTTTCACCCATACCTGTATAAAACCTTTCCCTTCGGTCAAACCACCCTAAAAGACTCTACTAATCTAAAATGCTATAAATTGTTTTTCAAAAGAAAAGCAGACTTATCCCATCTGATTTGTTCTACTGCATGTTTTTTTTTTATTGGAAGCAAGTAAAATTCTCCCCCCTCCACCCTTCACCCAACACCATGCCGGTTAACATTTTCACTCTATTCCCCAATAACCTCCCAGATTTCCATTTTCTTCTGAAGGACCATACAGTAAGCATTTATTATGGTGAACTCTGACTCCAAAGAGACCACAACTAGTTGCAGAATTCTCCCACTCCTTACTGCTGTTCTCTTTTTAACCTCAGCTTCATTATTCTTTAACATCACAACTCCAACAGGTTTATTTTAATTTGAACCACTCCGAAAGGATGGTCCCTATGAACTCTTCCCATTCTCTATACTCTCCTTTAAAAGGAAGATAACATCTGAGCTCTCTTTTGTGATTAACCCCCTTTTGCATTACACATAAGGCCAGTAAGAGACATTAGAAACTAGAGGAAAGCTGTCAGTTTCATTCCACACAAGAAAAAAAACCACCTTGTCTTATTTTACCACCTTCTGCTCACCCTCTCCTTTGAAGTCTTTCTTTTCCCGTATTCTCTCACTGTCTCTCCCCTCCTCTAGTGCACCTGATGATGAACCCGATTTCAAATGTAAAACTTAAAAAATTTCTATGTAAAACCTCACCCTTCCTCCCAGGAATCTCTTGCCTCCTCCTCCTCTGAATGTTTCTTTCCCCCAAAACTTCTTATCCATCTGCTACAGTGTCTATACCATTCCCACTGTGGCTCACTATCTACTCCAATCTCTACCCCATCTTCAGAAGAAGAGTTTGATTCCTGAGCTCTATTCTCCAGTTACCCAATTCTACTCACTACAGTATCTGTTTCAATCTCTGTTTCCTGTCCAGTTTCTCCCCCTCCCAGAGGGTCATCTGATGCACTCGCCACCTACTCCCCTCCATCTTTTTCCACCTTCTCATCCCAACCTACAGTTTCCCTGCTCCAGCCTTATGATTTGTCTGCTTCATACTGTCTTCATATCTGCTTACCATTCAACATTTCTCACTCTTATTCACAAAGGTTTTACAGCAGCAGGTTATAACCAGAGATGTTTCTCTCCGTGAATTGCATACCCTACGATTTAGGCAATTTTCCTCTCCATGAGCCAGATCCAAACACTTCCTACACGCCCAGTTTGTACATACCATCACTGAAAACCCCATCTCTTAATATTCAGCTTCGCCTGATCCTAAAAAAAGATCGCCTGGTTTTCTCCCAGAACTCCCATTGTCTGGGAGGAGCGATGCTGAAGTCTCACCCTGTTGGGTCTGCTAGTGCCCTTACAGCCACTTTCCGCCAGCCTTAGGTCATCCATGACGTTTTACAATCATAATGTAAAGATGTTCTATCACTCCTGCGATTGCTGCAGATTTATTAGTGTGAAATCCAGCTGCTTCTTTGCTGTGTTAACAATAGCAGTATGAGCTTCAGTTTAGTTCTTTTTTTTTTACTGAAGTGTAAAAATAGGTCAGTGATGAAAGCATTGCTTTGATCTGTGTTTTAGGATGGAAAGCCAGGGTGGCATGCACAAAATGCACTGCGCGTTTTCTCTCCATCACTGCTTAGTATGGCATTATATATTTTTCCTGTGCTATCATAACCTTTGTCAAAATTATTAAGGTACTGCAATCTACTGTCAAGGAAAGACAGTGTACCTGGTACTGAAAAATTATGGAATACATTAGTTGCTCTTCTACGAAAATTAGGAAAAGAAAGGTCTGAAGGATGCAATTACAGGATCAAGAAAGACAGCTTGTAAAATGCAGAGACTATGATACAGATGTCCGTGTCATATCCCAAAAAGGATGTTGTGTATTATTTAGAAAATGGCACAGACATCTGTGCC